GTGTTTTAATTAAATGAAATATTAATAAATGAAATTAAATTAAATAAATATTAAATTAAATAAATTAACATAAATTAAAATAAACTAAAATTGATAATATCAAATAATAAGAAATATAAATAATAAACAAAAGAAAATTAAATAAAATAAATAAATATAAAATTAAAAATATTAACAAAAAATTAAAATAAACTAAAATTAAATCAACATAAACAAAAGAGAAAAAATAAAATCAAAAAAAATTAAATACGAGTAAACTAAAATAAATCAGGTTATACAAAATATAATTAAATTAAATAAACAATACAAAAAATAGAACAAAAATATAAAAAGACTAAAATAAACCTTAGTAAAATAAATCTAAATAAAGCAAAAAAAAACAATTTAATAATATTAAACTAAATTAAAACAAACATAAAAAGTAAAATTAGATTAAAATAAAGGAAATTAAAAAAAGAAAGTGTAATAAAATGAAATTAAACTAAATTATATTTAAATGAAAAAAGTAAAATAAAACAAAATTAATTAAAAATAAATTAAATAGAAACACTAAAAATAATCCAAATCAAACAAACAACAAATAAATTAAATCAAATAAAAAAATAATATGAAATATAAGTAAATTATATAAAACCAGATTATACAAAATATAATGAAATAAAAAGTAATTAAATAAATAATAGAAAAATAGAACCAAAAAAAAATAAATGGAAATAAAAAAAAACTTAATAAAACAAACAAAAAACAATAATAAAAAAAAAACAATTTATTAATATAAAACTAAATTAAAATAAAATAAGCATAAAAAATAAGATTATATTAAAATAAATGAAATAAAAAAAGAAATTATAATAAAATAAATATAAGCTAAATTAAATTAAATAAAGAGTAAAACAAAATAATCAAACTAAGAGAAAATTAAACTAAATTAGTTAAATTGAAAAAGTAAAATTAAACAAAATTAAATGGAAATAAATGAAATAAAAACACTAAAAATAATCCAAATCATATAAACTAAAATTAAATTGAATTAAATATAGAGTGAAAGCAAATAATATAAGTTAATAAGTTAAATTAAATTAAGTTTGATTAAAAAAATAAAAAATAAAATTAAATTATATGTTAAAAAAATATAAAAAATTAATAATAGTTAAACTAAATAAAATCAAATCAAATATAATATAATTAAAAGAAATAAAATATGATGAAGTGAAATAAATAAACCAAATGACGTCAAACAATATAGAATTAAGTATAAAAATGAAACAAAAATTAAAATAAAAATATTAATTTGGTAAAATGAAATAATATAAGTCAAATTAAAATTATAATCGAAATTTTCAATAAAATACAAATAACTTAATAGTTAAATAATAATAAAACAAAATAACACAAAAAAGGTCAAAAAAAAAATAAAATCAATTAAAACAACTTAAAAGAAATAAGGTCAATACAATAAAATAACACGTAATTAAAATAACAAAATAACGCAAAAAAATTAATAAAATAAAATTAAAAGATTAGATTATATTAAATAAAATGAAGCAGAATTAAATAAAATTAAAATGAAGTAAATTAAAATAAAATAATAAATTAAAGTAGAACAAAAAAAAAAAAATAAAATACAATGAAATAAAATGAAATAAGATAAAAAAAAAAATAATAAAACGATAAAAGCACTTAAATTAAAAAAATAAAATAAATAAAAGTACAAAAAATTAAATTAAAATAAAATAATACAAAAGAGTTTAAATAAGCTAAAAATTACATAAAATCAAATAGGTTAAAAGGAATAAAAAAATAAAACGGAAAGGAAAAATAAAAAATAAATTAATTTAATTTAATTACATAAAAAATTTAGTGAGGAAAACAGTCAAAATTTTCTGGTAAAGTAAAATAAAATCAAATGATAAGAATTGAGAAGACATAAAACATATTAAACAAAAAATTAAAAATTAAATAAACGAAGTAAAGTACGAATTGTTGAAACCCCTTGAAATATATGTGTACTGCCCATTATTCCACTCCTACCTTCAGAGATTTATAACCATTAAAATCTTTTCACCAAACAGAAATACAACTTTTAGCACACAATTTGTTAATTTTAGTAACGTCCGATCCTGATTTAAGAAATTTTTAGTAAAGCTTCATTAATTATCATCATCTGGCTGTTTTTCATCCGGCTTGCTGGACGGTTTATGTCGTTGACCAGCAATAAAAGGTTGTAGGGTGATGTGTTTCCGAACTGCAATTACATTTCTCAGCTAGTTTTTGCTTAATAATACTGCCAAGCTATGTCCTTCTCAACACATAACTCATACGCGGTGTTGCTTGTTGTAAACGACATGTAGGTTGCGTATACGCAGTGTTGTGCTATATTTCTGTTTCTTACGCCTAAATTTTTATAAAATAAGCAAGAATTTTGCCTAATTTAAAATTTGATTCATACGCAAATATATAAAAATTATCTTGAAGGATATGAACTGGAAGAGCGTTTTCCCCTCTACATAAGATAGTGGATTCAAGCATTTATTTTTTCAGTCATAAATTTTCCTCAGAATCAGCTACTTGAGGTATTCGTTGATAGAAAAATATTTCTTCATGAGACTAAATATTCCTATTCTTTGTGGTATTCTTTTCATTTCGGTTGTTCACCCTGACATTATTATGACGGCATTAAGCTCTAAAAAATCTAGTTCCTATTCACTCAACATGAATTCTAAAACTCATAATGAATCAAAATAATTGTGTATGGTTAATTTATGTCAAAAATTTATAATATAATAAATATGGTTTGTATGTATGGCCAAGCCAATTGCAAAAATATTCCGTTTTTGTTTAATTATGTCGTCATAAAAAAAAATTCCTCCTCTTCCTGCGTTTCGCCTAAATGAAAAAAAAACATATACTTATTAACTCGCAGCAAACAGAAGATTTAAAAAAAAATTTTAGTTCCAATGAAACACAGATGCTGCTTCTTTTTAGTTTGAAACATTGCCAAATTTTCAAACTATTTTTGAATAGCTTATTGCCTGTGCTATAAATACACATTTTAGTTGCCTATTAATCGTAGCTGGAAACATGATATACGCAAATGAGAATACTTTAAGAAAAAAAAAATTGTGAAAATTTGTATTTCTTAACACTCTTGAAGTCTACATACATATATATACAAACAACATATTTTCTTGTTTAATACATAATTATGGCAAACAATTCACAAGTCACTCTGTCTATGATGTGCGTCAATGAGTTGATCTATTAAAAAATATACCCAGCACACAGTTTATTGCTTTTTCAATAAAAAATTTTTTCTAGAATTTTTCAATTTTATTATTGATTTTTACTACTTAAATGTTTCTGAAGAAAAAACTAAAATGAGGCATCGAAAATCATTATGCAACATATAGAGGAGGAGCCATGGATTTATCACTCTCTTATAGGTAGAAAAAGAAATTTTTTGATAATCACAACCAACTTGTAATTAGAGCTCTGGACATACTATACTTATTGAGCAGTGCGAGCAGCTCAATACTCTCGGATACTTGTTCATTGCTCAACTGCTCAAATATTTTTTTTTTTAATTTCAACACTTAAACAATTCCATTCAAAATAATTTCCAATTTAACTTATGAAAATATTTTTGGTATTTCTATAATTCTTACTACTAAAAATTTAAAATTCATCAAGCTGCTGTGAAAAATGTCAGTAACTTTTGTTCAAAATACGGAAAAGAGTTCGGAAAAGCTCGAAAAGCTTTAACTACTCCGTGCTCTTACTCTAAAATTTTCGAGAGCACTGAAAAAAGTGCGGGCATTCGTGTGCATATACTCGAACTACTCGAAAATGTTCGAAAAAGCATTAAACTCCACGCGTAGCAGACAAATATTAGCTTACAATTTTCGAAATATAAACGAAAATTCCAGAAGCAGTGAAATTTCGTGAAATGTGACAAGAACAGCTATTTTTTTTGTTATTTTATTTTTTTTGATCAAATAGTGTTTAAATTTGGGTATTTATTTAAATACATTTAATATTTATTTAATTGTAAATTCTCTCCCAAGTCTACCCAGAGGAAGTAAATTTCTCAGTTTACTCCTCTCTCTATTTCTCGTTGTTTGGTTCATCATAAACTCGTGCCAAAAAGACAAACGGTCAATAAAGAGCATTATTTGAGTTTCTTGAGGCGTGGGCAGCTTAAATAATAGTTTCCAGAAACTTTCTGGACTTTCTGGAAACTTTTCACTATATCTCTCTCTTTGTCTCACTATAAATATATTTCCCTGCCTTTCTCTCTCTTTAATATATATCACTCGCTCATTTTCCGCATTCTTAGTTTATATATTTTTTTTTGTTTTTTTTTCGTTTATTAATTTCTTATTTTGATAATTTTAAATTTAATAACTTCATATTATAATAAATAAAATGTAAAGAAGGCATCTTAAAGACAGGTCCTACAGTTTATTCTCAACCACACCCGAACTGCCGATGGATTTTTATGAGGAGCTTTTTATTTCATATTAGGAATACATTTCCTGTCGACCGCAGTTAGAAAAAATTAACTTTCTATAGTTTTTGATTTGAACACCGGCCTTTCGAATATTAGTACGCAATTCTAACCACCCGATTGGTGCAACCGTGATTCATATGATGCTCACTTGATGTATAACATGGCAAAATGAGCGCGCTTGTTAATGACTCACTCTCTTTCCACTCAAAAGTAGCCTTTTCATATTTCACACGCACTTTAAAATTTTCTTATTACTTTCAACAAAAGTTTAGGCGTAAAATGGACAATTTAAATTATTATTATTTTTTTTTTTTAATAAATAATTGACGCTTGAAAAACTCTTTTGATTTGATCAACACGCTGCAGCAAACAGGTAACAAATAATTAAATTCAAGTGATTTAAGAAAATATATATTTATGTTTAAATGTATTTAAAATTTAATAAAAAATTTCTTAATATCCAAAAAAAAATAAAAAAATAAAAATATAGGTAACATTGAAGATCCTCAAATTGTCTTCAAATGGATTTTGGAACAAAAGGCCGATGAGAGTATAGAACTGATAAATCGTGACACACTCAATGAATATATAGGCACCAAAGACTTTTTGGCAGTCATCTTTTGTAAGTAAATACAACAACAAAAAACGAAAGCATTCAAAATCAAAAATAAATAAATTTTAAAAGCAATAACGAAGCCTTAACGACAACCCAAAAGACAAAACAAAATCAACAGAAAATAGAAAACAGAAAAAAAAACAGCTGCTGTAAAATAAAATAGAAACGCGTTGAGCATTTTAGCGTTAGCTCTTAGAAGTTAATTAGAGCTCACTAAAAACTGTAACTGCTTGATATATAGTATAACGAAACATATTTATTTAAGCATTTATTATAGTTTTTTATATGCAATAAGTAGTAGCAAAAATTTCGTTTAATTCACTACCACTCATTATGTAAATATTATTATTATTTTTTCCTCACTTTTTCTGACACAAAAAATAAAAATCATATATCAATATCTCCCCTTGTCGCAATTGCAGATAAAGAGGACGATCCAGATGCACCACGCGTACTCCGTCACATCGAACTGATTGATGATGAGGCATCGGAATATGGCATACATATTGTTAAAATGCATGACAAGTTGATGGCGAAAAAATATGGCTATCGCAATCCGCCTGGCATAACATATTTCCGTAAGGGTAAACCCATTAACTATGATGGCGATATTGATGATGAGGAGGAGGTCTTGGATTGGCTCACCAGTCCGGCGAATATGGAAATGACCGATCATATAGAGAAGGTTAATCGTAAAATGTTTGAGAAGATACGCAAATCATCGGATTATTTGGCTGTGATTTTCTGTGAGAATTGATTTTTTATTGCATACTTTTTTATTTTTTTTTATTTTTATTTTTCACATCTAATTACAACTCTGTTTATTTAACATCGGTACGTAGATAGCGATGAGTGTAAACAATGTCCGCGTGTACTCGCCGAAGTGGAGCATATTGATGATGAAGCCGATAAGGCGGGTATCGATTTTGTGAAAATCGATGATAAGCAAATGGCAAAGGAGTTTGGAGTTTTTGCATTGCCAGCTATTGTTTTCTTTAAGCCATCATCGAAGGAACCAGTTATCTATGCCGGTGAGTGCGTGAAAATTTGTAAAAGAAGAGAAAGTTAAGAATTTTATAGAGATCAATAAATGTTTGCATTATAATTAAATTAAGTTAAACTTCTTGGTAATAAAAATAAAAGCTTTAAATTTTTTGCAATTTATTTGCCAAATTCCTATTGACATCTAATTTTACTTTTTTTTAATTTTTTTTCATTTCAGGTGATCTTTATGAAGAAGAACAAATTCTTGCTTGGTTACTAACGCAAAAGGACCCAAGCGGAGATGTTATCGAAGATCTTGAAGGCGAGAAACTGGTTCAATTAATCGAAGAGTCCGGTTCGATTGCTGTGTATTTCTGTAAGTTGTTTATTTATCAAGGCAAATTGTTAGGAAATTATTGTAATATGCTGCAATCGGTTTGGTGACATGAATGTGCAATGTTGCGAAGAGGAATTACTCTTTTGCGGCGAGGTAAAATAAATTTAAATAATTATAAATAAATTGAAAGCAAACACAATAAAATTGAAATAAAATAAAATAATTAAAATTAAACAGAATAAAATTTATTACAAAATAAATTAGCCAAAAAATATTGAATTAAAAAAATTAAATTAAATATAGAAAAATAATATCAACGTATTTTTAAAATTTCAATTTAACTATGTAAAACGTTTTTAAATTTAACTAAATAAAGTAAAAATGGAAATAAATAAATATAAATAAATAAAAAGAAAATTATATAAAAAACCGAAAAATATAGAGCTCCATAGCACACAATGAAATTCAATAATATGGATTAAAGCAAAATGAAACTAAATGAAACAAAAAATCAAATTGAAAATAGAAATAAAATAAATTATAACCAAGAAAATATATTAAGCAAAAACAAAAAAATCAAAGTAAAATAAAATACAATTAGTAAAATCAAATAATTAATTTAATTAATAAAATATTATCGAATAACATAAAATAAAGTGAAATAAAATCAAATCAAATAAAATAAAATAAAATAAAATAAAATAAAATAAAATAAAATAAAATAAAATAAAATAAAATAAAATAAAATAAAATTAAATTAAATTAAATTAAATACTTTGCTAAAGAATTTTACTGCTTCTCTTACTTTAGTCTCTTCACACCAGAAAGGATTTTCATAAAGCGATGCCAAAGTGCTAAAATCTACTTTGACTACTCGACATACCTGAGGCTCGGGCTCGTGCTTGTAAAGCTCTTCCTTTTGAGAGCATGTAAGCCACTCGACCTTCCGCAACCTCATTTCAACTTACGAAAGGTCAAGTTTTGATTCCACCTCCTTGAACTAAAGCATTCCTTCAGTAAAACTTTGCATGTAGCTCAAGTCATGCTAATGCGTTCTTTATCTAATAGAGTCAGCTTAGTCTTATTGTATTTGGAAATTTGTAGACTTTCAGGCACCCTTTTATACCTTTGATACAAGGGAACCAAACGAGGAATAATCTCTTTGTTTAACGATCTTCTGAAAAGATCTGCGACAGCCCAGCATGACTTTAGAATTTGTAGTGATCGAGCGTAGAGCTTTCATTGTTGTCCGACTGATACCGAGGAGATAAAGATTTCCCTCCCGGATCTGGAACACACTACGCTTTAATGAGGGTGAGGAAGGAAAGCTATTCCGACTTTCGGATCTAACTCTCAGTCGGAACGTCATATTTGTTGACATATTCTAATCATATTCTCTTACGAGGAGCCTTTATTTCATTTCAGAAATACATTCGGAGAAGTGGAAATTCCCTGCCGATGAGCGGTCGCAATTAAATAATTTAGCCTGTGATAAAATAGGGTACCCTAATAAGAGAACTCTGATGATTAATAAAGTTCGGTTTGAGAACTAAATATGAGATAGAGATAAACTCCGAGATTCTTTAATTTTCCTATTCATTTTTCAATTTCCTGCAACTTGCAACATTCATTGTTACACTTTTGCGCAAAAAGATTGCAGCACAGAAAAAAAGTTACGCTTTCCCGTTATAGTACTTTGGCATAAATTGCAATTATTATTTTTTATTGATTTTAGTTTAAAAAAAAAATAATAATAATTATAGAAATGTAATTAACCACATAAATTATTGATAATATATTTGAAAGAATTTATTTTTCTAAACTAAACTGTATTTTCAAATAGTTGCCGTTCAATGGCGACAGAGAACTTCTCTGCTGTAACTAACTGTAGGCTAGCATATAATTTTATAATTAATTTTATAATTATTTATGGCACTTAATGAAAATTTCTAAACTTGAATTCTTTTTAAATTTCAATGAATTATGTTGAAAAAAAAACACACTACAAAAACAACTTTTCATCAACTCCATGCGACTCAAACCAAAAATTACAAAACAAAACTGCAAAAATAAATTTAAAAACAAAAAAAAATCGCCTCAAAATGTTGAATTTAGGGAACAAGACGCAGTGCGACATTTGCACATCGAAGGCAGCACGCAAAGCGCGCCTGAAGAAAGAGCGCGAGGCCCAACAACAAGATGGCGGCGCTGGAGCAGCGGCCGCATTTGGCGGTGAAGCCGATGCGGCTACAGCCGAAGCCGAGGCAGCAGCAGCGGATGCACCACCAGCTAAGACCACGGCCACTAGCAGCAAACACGACGATGGTAGCGAAAAAATATCGTAGCAAAAAATAAAAACCAAAAACAAATAGAGTTACCCTAGACCCCCAAAGGAATGCGACCAATTGTGTAGAATAAGACGTTCTTTTTTTTGTATTCCAAATGTCGTGTTGGATATTGAATTTTGTATTTAGTTTATAGAGAGTTTTATTGTTCTGAGCAACCCTGAAAACCGCCTACACTACAAGCAAAAACACACAAACCGAAATTTTTATACAAAAATAACGAAATTTCTTATTTGTACCAGACTTTGGCACCCATCCGACAACCCACTGCATTTTTACCGTTATCAATCCTCACAACAACAGAACCAAATATGAAAATAATATTTTTTTTGCCCACAACTACAACTTGTACTCGGCCTACTCTCACACCTCCACCATTTTCTATCTCCAAAGTAGTTTTTGTGAATTTTTGTGGGAGATTTTTTTAAGAAAAATTCAAAAAATATTTAAATGTATTTAATAATTGTTACTCTCGTGTGCTAATTTTCCCGCTTTTTCTAACACTTCAATGTCCTACTATCCGCTTTTACTCTATACTCCTCCGCATGCCAACTATTGTCCATGTTTTTTCGTTATTTTTCTAATTTTTATTGAAAATATTTTCTCATTAGATGCCGATGGCTGTGAGAATAAAATAAAATAAAATAATTGTCCATGTTTTTTCGTTATTTTTCTAATTTTTATTGAAAATATTTTCTCATTAGACGCCGATGGCTGTGAGCAGTGTACGAAAGTTTTGGAGGAATTGGAGAATATCGATGATGATTGTGATAAACATGGCATTACGTTCGTTAAGACTCGTGATTTCTCGGTTGCCGACGGTTATGGCGTGCATGAGTATCCGGCATTGGTGTACTTCGAGGGCGGTATTCCAAATGTATTTGAAGGTAAGTAAAGACAAAGTCAGTGGCAATGTAGCTAGGATTGGCAAAACTGTTTCGAGGGAATGAAAACTACTTCGCCTACTTCCTACTGCACTAAAACTCAGCTGTTCTAGATTCAAGTGGCTTAATATAAGTTGTGCGAAAAGAAAATTGCCATAAAACGATGCCTTGTAACTAGAGTTATCTTTACGGCTTAGATCCTTAGAGGTTAGGTCAGGTTGAAGTGACTGCTGGGAATCACGACAGTAAGACCAACAACATATCGGTTTTTAAAATTACTTAGAAACCTAGTAGCCCCTCAACCTAGTGAAATCAATGCGGGCTGCTAGAAAAATAAGGCAATCAACCTCTCTTTACGCTATTTCGCTCAAGTCTTTAAAGGTTTCCACTACCAAGACTTCAACATACCCCTTCACAATCGCAAAGGAAGTGCCTGAGGGTACCGGCTCTTCTTCCTATCTAGAACTCCTTCAGAAGTCATTTAAGTCAAACTCTGGGTATCTAACTGAAGATGCCCTGTAGGAAGACCCATCATGGAATATATTAGGTGTTTCGAGGCCTCTCTTATTCTTGTAATAATTGTGAGATCTCAATCTTATCATACGAACAACTCTCTTATAGGAAACTTACAAACGGTAAGCATTATGCCAAAACTCTTCCAAGATAGTGAGAGTGGAGGGGGTGTGCAAGAGAGAACTGCTTGTCATAGATTCATGGGCTGGTCGCACCAGGACTCAAACCCTGAGCATCCGAATGATAGTTGCAATGCTAAATAGGGCCTCTAAATTCCTTTTAGCAATACAACCTTTTTTCCAGATTACGATGGCATCCAAAACCTTCGCTCGATTACTTGTGGGAAGTTTCCTTTGTTACTTATTATGAATCCCAACCCCAGAGTGAAATCAAATATAACTCTACTCGTTCATTGGTATCTGTACTTCCCCATGATGGGTATTTATGTCACCTACAAGAACCAATGACCTCTTGGTGTACTGTACTTTATTTACTATAGGCCACGAGTCAGTATTTCCTTTTCGTGCGCTTTATCGATCGAGGATTGTCTGAAGTTGCGTTCCTCTTTGTCCATGACTCACCACATATAGAGTACCATGCTGGCCGGGTTTAACTGGACAGATCTTATGTCCGATCACCCAGAGCGCTATGTTGCAGATTTATTTGAAACATTCTTACCAACTTGAAATCTGTCAACCTGCACATCTATCAAAGAGAAGTATAGACCACTATCCGCCACTATACTATATTATACCAACTCTAGACGGCTGGTTCTTTTATATAAGAAACTTTGATTCTCATGTCAGATACACAATCGCTGGCCTTGACATTCCTTGCTTAGTAGCGGTCGCAATTAGAAAAATTTATTTTCCATAATTTTGTTTATTGGTCGAACCGTGGAAAATTCGGAATTTTTCATCTACATATCTAAGATTTTCCCTTGCATACAGAGCAAATATTTCTGATACGTTTCAGTTGATGGGAGGATAGTGCGCTCAAAGAGATTTAGAATACCTTCGCAATTTTCAGTCTTGCTATTCTCTGGACTTAGTCGTTACCTAATTATTATTATTTAGACATAGAAAGAATATGTTTTGAAATTGGAAAAGCCCTCAATACGCTTTAGCACGGAAAATATCAAATTCTTCTACCAGCAAATTGAATAAAGATACACAATTATCATATTATCTCCATCCCTAGGTGAACTAAACGAAGAGGAGGAAGTGCTACAGTGGCTTATCACACAAAAGACTGAAGATCGTATTGAATTAATTACACGTCAGATGCTGGAAACTATGGTTGAGGAAACACAATATTTGGCGGTTTATTTCTGTAAGTTTCCCCAGAGATTTTCTACTTATGAACCAAAAAAAAAAAATTAAAATAAAAATATTTTTTTGTACCATTTTTCCGATGAATGTTACTTACAAGATTTTAATACTAAACTTTCTTTTGCCCAATATTGTTTATTTACATACATTTTTCATAAATTTCCACATTATCCCACACCAACAACACTGTCAAATCCAACCAAAATGAAATGTACAAATATATACATATTGAAAAAAAAAATTAAAAATAAATTAAAAAAAAATGGCTACACAATCCAACCAATCCAACACTTACCGAAAATAAAACCAAACAATTTCCCAGTACCCACTGAGCGCAATGGAAAACCACCCGCTTATTGCCGCAGTTTTTGTTCGCCTGCCTCTTTATATGGAAGCATGAACAACACCTCGAAACACGCATCCAAACAATTCATTAAGAATTACATTTCACGCAAAAGAAAACGTATCGAAAATCAAGGTATTCACGACAGTAAAACAAACTTTACCACATAGCATAACCTAAAAAACTTGTACATAATCAACACATTATTGAAAAAAAAAAATGCAATGCGAGTTTCACAGAAAATTAAAAACGAAATGATAACGAATAAAAATAAATTCCGAAAGTTTTATATGAACTCCTCTCTTATTATTTCTTCTTTTCATTTTCTTCATTGCATTTTCGAAACTAATTGTACGCTTCTAAATCGTAACTCAGTGTCGCAAAAATTTTGTTGTGTAGTGTGAAATTGTCCCGAAAGGATCTTTTCCAAACTAAATGTTACGATAAGAAATATACACCGAAAGTAGTTTTGAAATTTATCCATACAACTGATGAATGCTAAAAATAATTAAAAAAAGTAAACAAAAGCAAAATAAACTGAGAAGTTAATATTAGCAAAATATGAAAAAAAACAGAAAGAAATGAAACGCAATTAAATACAATAAAGTAAAATAAAAAAAAAAAAATTAAATAAATACAATAAAAACCCGAAATTAAATTTAATTAAAAAACATAAGGAAAATAAATGAAATTTAATTTAATAAAATAGTTAAATAAAAATAAATAAAATAAAATACTATAAAAAATAAAATAAAACAAAATTAAATCAAATTAAATTAAGTAAATTAAAATTAAACCAAAAAGGAATATAATTAAAATGTTACAAAATTAAATAAAATAAATTATTTATTAAATACAATAAAAAAATAAAATAACACAAAAATAAATCAAATTAAATTAAGTAAAATAAAATCAAATTAAACAAAAAATCAATATAATTAAAATGATACAAAATTAAATAAAATAAATTATTTATTAAATACAATAAAAAAATAAAATATAACAAAACTAAATCAAATTAAATTAAGTAAAATAAAATCAAATTAAACCAAAAAGGAAAATAATTAAAATGATACAAAATTAAATAACATACATTATTTATTAAATACAATAAAAAAAATAAAATTAAAAAAAAAATAAATCAAATTAAATTAATTCAAAAAAAAATAAATTAAACAAAAAATCAATATAATTAAAATGATACAAAGTTAAATAAAATAAATTATTTATTAAAAAAAAACTAAATCAAAATGAAATAAAGCAACATAAAATAAATTAAACCAAAAAAATGTAATAAAACTTAATTTAAATTCATTTATTAAAATAAAAGTGAATAAAATAAAATCAAATCAAATTAAAACAAAATAAAAAAATAAATTAAATTAACTTAAAAATATTTTAAATTAAATATAATAATATAAAATAAATGAAATAAAATTAAACTAAATAAAACTAAAAACTAAAAAAATATTAAATAAATAAAATTAAACTAAATAAAACTAAAAAAATATTAAATAAATAAAATAATATGAATTGATATAAAATAAAATGAAAATTAATAAAATCAATATCAATTCAAATAAAATAATATAATTAAAATGGAGAAAAATTTAATAATTAAATAAAATAAAATATTAAATAAAAATAAATTTATTACCAAAAACAAAATAATTTGCTATAAAATTAAATATAAGTAAATTAAGGTAAGAAAAAAATAATACAAAACAATATGCAATAATATAAATAAAATAAAAAATGAGAAACAAAATAATTTACAATAAACTAAAAAGTAAACTGATGTAAAATTAACTAAATAAAATATAATCAATAAAAATTACATAAATTAAATAATTTAACTAAAAAGTACTTAATATAAAATAAAATATAAAACTATAAATTAAATTAAACCGAATAAAATGAAACAAAACTAAAGAATTTTAAAATAAAATACAGCAAAAAAAAATAAAATAACCTAAAATAAAAAAAAAAATAAAATTAAAAAATAAAGTAAAATGAAACAAATAAACTACAGAAATAAAATTAATTAAATTTAACTAAATAAAAGAAAAGTAAAACCAAATAAAAAGGATTAACTTAAAAGTAAATTAAATTAAAAGAAAAACCAAAACAAAATGAAACTAAATCAAACTTAATAAAAATTTAATGGTTTGCATTTCGTATTAGTAATCGGTTGGCAAGGGCTCGAGCCCTGGTTGGATCAACATCCAAAAATATAGAAAACTGATTTTTCTGATTGCAGTCCCACCTCGGCATGTCAAGCCATACAAGTGTATTCCTGACATGAAATAAAAGCTGCTCATAAAACATACGTCCATTAAAATTAAAAAGAAATGAGAATGAAATAATGAACTTACGTAAAAAAAATTTAAATAAAATAAAAGATTAAGGTATAAAAATATGAAAAATAAATATTTAATTAAGCTGAATTAAATAAAATAGGAATAAAAAGGAATAAAAAAAAAACACTTCATATAAGGTACAAGCAAAATTAGCTAAAAAAATGAAATAAAAAGTATTAAAATTATATAAATTATAAGTTAATAAATATAAATTAAATTAAAAGTAATATAAAAAAATGTTACTAATTTAAAAAATCTTAAACAAAAATAAAATTAAATTAAATGAAAGAAAATCAATTTAAGTTAAGTTAAAGACCCATAATAAAATTAAACTAAATTAAAATATTTTAATTGAACTAAAATTGTATGGTAACAAAAGTAAAAAATAATAACTTAAAGGTAAATACAATTAAAAAATAGCAAAGAAGAATAAAAAAAAAATAAATTAAATACAAATAAAAAATTATTAACTTGACATTATTAATAAAATAAACTTAAATAAAATAAAAGAAATTATATTAAAAACCAAATTAAATTAAATAATTAAGTTTAAACCAAAACAATTAAAAAACTTAAATTAAGTATTATAATTAAATATAATAAAAATATAAATTAATTAAATAAACTAAAATAAAATAATTAAAAATAAAATTAAAAATTGAAATAAAATAAAACAGAGAAAATTAAAACAAATAAATAAAATAAATTAGATTACACTAATTATATATTAACCGAATAAAATATAAATAAGTTATATGAAATATAGTAAAGAATTTATATTAAACTAATCTTAAATATAATAAAATGATATAAAATTAAATGAAAATAAATTTCATAGGTACAAAAAAATTGTCTATTTTAAAAAAATTGTCTATCTAAAAAAAATTGTAAATTAAAAAAAAAATAAATTAAACTGAATTGGTTGAATAAAATAAGATTAAAATAAATAAAAGTAAAAAAATGAGATTAAAGAAGATATGACATATCAAAAAAATATAAAAAATATAAAAAAAGAATATATAACAGTAATTAAAATTAAGTAAATTTTTTTAAATTACATTCAAAAATAAAAATTTATTGAAATAGAAATAAATTAATAGTTTAATAAAAATATAGATTTACTTGCATTAGGTTAAATAAAAAAATAACAAGAAAATAAATCAAGAGAAGTAAAAAATAAGTAGAAAAGAAAATAAATTAAAATTAAATAAAGCAAGAAAAATAAATTAAAATAAAGTAAAAAATGCATTCAAATGTTGATTTACTTTATATAAATAAATAAGGTTTTATTTTATAAATTATGATAACGTAAATGCATTAATTCTATAGAAATATTTTGAAAATATTAAAGTTTTGTAGCAAAAAATTAAACGATTTGGACATAAAACTGTGCTGGATCATACCAGGCAATACTTACATACATATGTTATTTAGTTTGGAAATGAATACCTTAATTTTTGGCGTTTTCTTTCACTATCTCTTTCGCTAATAACTCAGACTAACTATCTTTAATTCAAGCTTACTGATTTTAATTAAAAAAGAAAATAATATATATATATGCACGCAAATCAAAGCTTTTTCTCAATAATTAAAAATATTTTTTTTGCAAATTTAATTTATTATTATATGTAAATTTTGAAAAAATTATAATTTTTAGTTTCTGTTTTTAAGCATTTAAAAACTAAGACAATGTTTTCTTATAAATGCTATCGCAACTAAATTTCTAAAAATCTGTGCTTGGTTTCGAACTATTGTAGCAATGCTTGCTTAAAAAAAAAACCACCTAAGAACACATTTATATAATTACAAAAAAAAACTGTTATTATATGTATGCATGCTTATAGATTATATTATACATGAAGTTTATTAAAAGACTATCATTTATTTTTAATTAATTCATTGTGATTTTTTGATTTTTTTTTGTATTTGTTTTCTTTTGAAATGAAATTTTTATAAAATTTTTGTTAAATAATTATTTTATGCACAGACAAAATCAACTGTAATATATGCGACCAAATTCTCGAAGGTCTGGAGCTGATCGACGATGAATGTGATGTCTTTGGCATTCATATGGTTAAAATACAAGATCCACAATTGGCCAAACGATATTCGATAAAGACATTCCCAGCTCTTGTGTATTTCCGGTAAAAAAAAATAGCCATTTACAAATCACACTCTCTGCATTAATTGTTCATCATTTTTTTTCTCTCTTTGCCTTGTCTTAGCAACGGCAATCCGTTACTCTTCGAGGGTGATCTACAAAATGAACAATCGGTTTTGGAATGGCTCATTGATGATGACAATCGCGAGTTGGCTGATGAGATTGAAGAAGTGAATGAACGTATGTTGGATCGTTTAATGGCTGAGTCCACATTATTGGTGGTGTTCTTTTGTAAGTGTCCACACAGAAGAAGACTTTCAGTAGGAAGATATTTACTAAGTATTTCATTTTGTGTTCATGTTTTTTTTTTTGAACGCCACAGACGATGAAGATTGCGCCGAATGTGAGGAGATCCTTGAGGAGCTTGAGGAGATCGATGGCGAAGCGGATATGTTTGGTATTGACTTTGTGAAAATCGCCAGCGTAGAAGCGGCGAAAAAGTATGATGTGGTGAATATACCATCACTGGTCTATTTTAGGTGAGTAAAAATATTTCTTGGCAAAAATATTAAACCATTCGCAGATGGAATTTTTGTTCTGCGTTGTGTAACGAAATAGTTATGTTGTTGTTGTTGTTGCTTTAGAAACTTGCTAAACCCTAACTAAATGCAGGCTAAATTAAGCTATGTCGTCGAGGTCATCTAACTAGTTGTTTCGATGGGTTCTATCCAGAGGGTGCTCGGTGTTAGATGAATGAGTTTTAGTGGTCTTGCAAAAAAGTAGTTAGTGTCATGCAGGCCTCATTGTAGACTTCCCTGAAGTATATTGGGGTCAAGTTTGGATAAGGTGGAATTGAGTTTGCTGCAGTATTGAGAGCTTGACCTTACTCGTCCGTAAGCGGTTAATTTTGGTTGTGGTGCCGGGCATTTTTCCGAACCCATACCGGTAGTGGTGGGGAAGGAGATACTGGAGCATCAAGGCCTGAAGTATTTTTGCCATTTGTGAGAGGACTGATATCGGCTTTTGTTTGCTGGTTCTGCTAGTTTTAACAGCGGGATTATGTTGCCGAAAGGGTGACAGTGCTTTGCCGGATAAAATCCGTGTCAACTCCGGTGCGTAGAACCGGCTGTCTTGAGACAGCCGCTGGACAGGACGGCGTACAGACAGCCAGTGGAAGTTATTCACCAGGAGTCAGTCAACACCTTCAAGGACTCCCTTTCCGCGAATGGCGTGCTCGGGGAAAAACCACCACCCACTGCAGACAACGAGCTCGAGCTGCCTCAAGACACCCGCGTGGCCTTGGCAAAACTCAGGTTTAGATACTGTAGGAGGTTAAACATCTACTTTTCGAGACTCGACCCCAGCATATCCAACGTATGCCCTGCATGTGGAGAGTCTCTGCACGACACTAACCACCTCTTTACATGCCCCCTTAAACCGACTCATATAACCCCCCTCCGGTCTAATGCCGTCAAAACAGTATGTTTCCTGGACCTCGCACTAGATGACCCCGGCAGCTTAGATTGTTGAAACCTGTACCTAAGCGGGGTTAGCCTACCGCTTCAACAACAACAACAATATGGAGATTTATTTCTTCCCGACAACTCCGTAAATCTCCTCTGTGAAGAAATCAAATGCCGCGCTGATACTTGGCAGTTTGTGCTGACAATGGTTCATTTGAGGTTTCATTTTGTCAACCAATGAATGCAATACTAAAAGCCGACTAAAATAACTTGTACACCTCTTAGGGTCTGTAGAGGATCGGTCAGCGAATGAAATTTCCATCCGGAGATCGCGTCTTATAGAGTTCGACTATGCTTTGATGATCATCTAAGGCTTGGTTGCTCCAATATCAGATCGGTATTCTACTGCAGAACAAGCCACCATAACGATTTTGTTTGCGGTCCGTACGTACAGCATTAAAACCGGCATAGCTCAGAAGACATGAGCGGTTGTCAAGCTTGGTTTCTTGTAGCGCAACTATCGCTAGATGCTTCCGGCTCATGCAGTCGACTGTTTCGTCAATATTCCCTTGGTGTCCATTGCAGTTTAATTTGTAAGAGTCCAGTCGATTTCAGGAGGATGTTCCTAATACGAGGGGCAAGAGAATGTTGTTCGATTGTGGGGTTTGGCAGATGGGAAGATTACTGCTCGTTGGTAGATGGTGGCGATGTGAACGGTGTCAGATTCCTACAGCAAACATTATTGGTGCGCAGGCCAAAGCAAAAATTTTAGCCGATAGATGATTCTCCAAAGTGGTTAATGGTACTGAAAGTACAGCCAAAGCGTGGTCCACTTCCTGTGAATCTGAAGGCTCGGGCAAGTCTTAAGATAAATCCATGCCACTGATTGCATCTAACTATAATGATATAATGATGCAGCAGTGTATGGCGCCCAAAGCAGAAACATTCCTTCGGGCCTTCACTTGGGTTCGCTAGCGCTGATAAAACAGAAGCAGGGCAACCTCGCAGCAAGGTGTTGATCCGTTGATGTAAAGAAACTAAATTTACCTGTTGATATATTTGGCGGCGGCCGCGATAATCAAGTGGTTAGCAATGCGTACTGCCCCTCGGAAGGGCAGGGTTGGAAGCCTGGTCCAGTCAACACCCAAAATTATAGAAAATGTCAATCCCTGCGAGTGTATTTCTGACATGAAAATCAAAACTCTTCATAAAAATCCTTCAGTCGTTCGGAGAGGAGAAGAGTATAAACTGTAGGTCCCTCTATTTGTTGGAAACATCACAATGCACACAACAATTTGGAGGAGGAGCTTGGTCAAAAATTGCTTCATATAAATATTTATATATACATACATATATTTAAGTAAAAAAAAAACCGCTGATCTAAAGTTTTTTATTCCTTTTCAGAAAACAAGTTCCTGTTTTGTACGATGGCGATTTGCATCAACACGACAAGATTATAACCTGGTTGACATCGCAAGATGTTTTCGAAATCAAAAATGAGATCGAGGAAGTGAACCGTAAAATGTTGGATAAACTGCTTGAAGAAAATGAATTTATAACGGTGTTCTTTTGTAAGTAAACCCATGCTTAAACTGTTCCATTTCATTATGCATAACCTTACTTTTCGCTGCTGTGACAGACGAACACAATCAGCAAGATAGCATTGCCTCGCTAGAAAAACTGGAGAATATCGACAGTGAAACGGATAATTTGGATATAACATTCGTAAAGATGGCCGATTCGCGTTATGCCAAAAAATGGGGCGTTACAAAACTGCCAGCTATGGTGTATTTCCGACGTAGATTCCCCAGCATTTATAGAGGTGAGTTAAATTGACTTACATTTTCTGTTTTAACCACTAATTTTCCCCCTTACATCACAACGCCTTACAGGTGATCTTCTCTCCGAAGATGAGGTACTGGAATGGTTGCGCAAAAACCGTTTCCGCCAACCGGAACTCAACATATTCATGTATGCGCTCATCGCCTTGGCCGTCGGTTTCTTATTGTACACTGCCTTCCTGCTGCAATGCTTCAAGCCAGCGCCACCGCCACCACCGCAACACCCCAAACAGTCGTGATAAGTTAAACAAAAAACATAAATGGACAACAGAATTACTACAAATAGTTAAATTTATAATACATGAAATTGCATAAAAAATTAAACGGAGCATACATACGTACATACATACATATATACGTACATATATACATACAAAAATACCCAGTGGAACATACAAATGTGGCACAACAAGCAAACTTACATATTTGAGGAAACATTTCAAACATACACGTACACACAAACGTATATTTTTTGTGTAAAGAAAAACGACCGAATGACGTGCAAAACATAAACACAAAAAATTAAACTATTTTGAAAATTATCATCCAATATCAACAATCGTCTAAATTAGACGTCATGGAAATGAAATATAACGAACTTTTTTTTCAAACACACATACATGCATAGCTACAAAGCGCACCCAAATTAACATTTACCAATTTACCAACGTGAGAGAGAGAGACATAAAATGTATCGATTATCGATTTATTAATTCAACTTTGGGAAAATGCTATCAGTTATGTGAAATTCTTTAAATAAAATCGAAATAATTTTAGCGAAGAGTAAAAAATAAAAAATTGAACGCCACAAAACTGTGAAAAAAAGTTTAACCGCCGCAACTGAAAAATACTCGAAATGGAAATATTATTTGTAAAAATAAAAAAATTACAAAGAAATAAAACATTTTATGCAATACAGTACGATTTTCGAAAATAAACAAATAAATAAATATTTATTGAAATATAAACTGCGAAAATTACTCAATTAAATTTGTACATATGTATGTACATGCATACATATATTTAAAAGAAAATAAATAATACATATGTAATATGTATGTTTAAGCCGATTGTATTCGCGTTTATAAAATTAATGAAAATATTTGCTTAAAGGAATAAAATAAACTCAATTTTTGGATGATAAGAATTTAATAAATTTTTTTAGAATTGAATTTTTTTCAAATTTTACAATTTCAGTTACATATACTGCATCATTACATCGACAGCCGAGGAGTAAGCATTGCATTATGACATTCGGAGAGCCAGGGTTCGAATCCTGGTACGATCAACATCCAAAAGTTATAAAAAATTAATTTATTATAAAAAAATTAAGTTCGATTTTCTAAATACAGTCGCCCATTGGCAGGGAATGCCAATCCCTCCAAGTGTGTTTCTGATATGAGATAAGGTCTCCTCGTAAAAAAAACATCGGCCGTTCGGAGACGGCTTAGTATAAACTGTAAGTCACTTGATTTGTTGGAAAAACATTAAGACATAAAATTACCAGTTGGAGGATGAGCAAGGCCGAAAATCGCTGCAGTGGTTATATATATATATATGTATATATATTATGCAACCAAAATTATAGAAAAACAATCTTAAAATTTTTCATTGAAGCTTCAGTTTTTAATGTGATGAGTTCAAAACCCAGCGCACAACCACGCAAGGTGGGTAAGTTTCAATTTGACTCAAGACCGTCGTCTTTAGGAACCCGTCGTCTACTCGCAGCCGTATCTCCTTAGACCGAATATTTCATAGTAGCTCCACTGAACCTTCCTCTCTCATTAGCCGTGACTCAAGGCTCCATTGAAGTTGGTTAGCGCATCTTGCACAAGATTTGGTCGCGTTTCCAGTGTGAGTGTCGTGGCCGCAATAGAAATTGGGATTAACACCCGACTATAAGCTTGAGTACACCCCTAATAAACACAACTGTCCAAAATTTTAGCGATCCACGAAGAAACATGCCCAAATAAACAGAGGCTTATCTACTTCACCGGTGCTCAGAATATAGTTGTTTGTAGTATGAGATTCCTACACAAGAAGATTCACCAAGCTTCTTGGTTATAACCGGATCGAAATGATTATGGATAGACGGACGCCATATTTCCAGTATTTTTGACTTGCTTACGCTCCGAAGAACCAACATTGGCCCAGCAACATTGCCCACTAACGTGTAGCAACTAAGAACGTCTGCCAACTAACACAAGGATGGTTCGTCGTCAAAAAGCCGCAATCACAACAGACAGCCGAAAGGGTTTCTACTCAATTTGCACTTCTGCTCTCTGAGAGCACTTATCAGCAACTCGGTATGAAGGAACTGTCGGACAGAGTTTCAAGCTCCCTACGTAAAGCTACAAACGAAACTCTTGGTTTTCGTAAACGTCACAAAAAGAGCTTGTTCGATGATGGCCGTGTAGCAAGGGAAAGAAAGCAGACTGCCTACCTTGCAACGTTGCAATTGATAATTTTTCGTAAAGGGGGAGATATATACCGAGAGAAGATAAGGGAAGTAAGACGCATGTGTGGACAAAAGAAAAGAAAGAAGTACTGAGAGCTTGGGAAGCTGTCCGGGAATGATAATGCTTAAAATTTTTTTTGGAAAACATGTTCGGATGATAGCTTGCCCGACAAGTGGAACGAAAAAATGTGCTTTGCTCAATCTACAAAAAGGGAAACCCAAAGTTTGAGTCAATTACTTTGGGATAAGCCTCATTATTACCGCACAAAAGGCTTCTTATACAAAATTTTATGATTCCTAAAATCTGGCTGAGCGTCCATTGTGACACCTAGATCATTGTAGTCAGTATCTTAGTCAACATTATGATGTCCATCGACTGTGGTACTCGCCGATGTCAAAGTGTAAAGGACCGAAAATCTTAGGCAAAACATTTCTTTCAAAAACTCCTAACGCCGGCTCATCAAATGTTGTCATCGTCTATGCCTCCGATGAGCGACTTGTAGGGTTTGGTCGTTATTTACCAAGAGAGGACTCTACTTTTCCTAGATAGGTGAAATCGTCTGCAAGTATAGAGATATTTTGTTTTGTGAGTGACTTCCTGGCCCGTAAAAGGCCAAACGGTATGCTTTTTAAACCCATGGACATCAATATCGTCAGTATACGCTTGCAGTTGTACGCTCATATATACCTTCTGTACTTAGCTTTGCAGCTCTGAAAATTTTCTTTCGCATAGGACTAAAGAAATAAAATAAAATAAATTTTTATTTGAACTTCTTCACAGTAGAGGATGATGAAGTGTTTATAACATAGTCATTAATTGGTGATTCCCTAGATCACTTCTTTGGGTTCTACAAGAGTGCGCTCCGGTCTTAAAACTTTCTGTTCTTCATAGAATATTTGTACATTAGACAGTCTGTTTTATGTCCACTGCAGTTCGATGCCGACCCTTTATCTAATATTGCCGAAAATCAATTGTTCTTGCAATGGCGTTACATAAGACCTCGGTTATCGGGGATGCAAAATTTTTTTTTTACTTATGCGCCGAAAACACCTTTTGCATACCGTGTCATTGAAGCCTTGATGCGGATTATGGCTAGACCTTCTTCCTCCGGGGTAATGACAGCACTCGGCGTCTGAATCTTTCTCCCACCGCATGTCCGACAACAAATTTATGTACTTTTATATTATCACTATCCTTCCTTCCTAATGCCGTCCATTGCGTCTCATGCATGACGACCACATGGACAGCGGCAACTTCTTAGTTAAGGCGGAAAATTTTTCCTTTGGATAATTTTTTACGTTGCGTGTTTCAAAATTCGGCGACAACCTAGCAACCCGTCGGGATAAAATCCCAACATAATAAGGCAATGTACTCAGAAAGATTTCAATGAGAAGAATGACGTGGAGCATCTCATCTAGGCCCTTGGCAGACCACGAATTCAAATGCATGTGGTCCACTTGAAAAGATTTCCAAAGGGTGGGCAAAGAATAGCAGATGGAAAGTGAAAGATAGAGATCAATAATTATAGCATTTTTTAAAGCGCGTGAATTGAATTTGCGTTATCTAGTAATTTATATGCACCTTTCCATGATTGTGTGCGAGCAATCGGCGAGTATGTAAAAGCCTCGACAGACACTGCAGACGTACAGAACTCATTGGTGACAATTCGCTTCGTAAGTGATAGCACGTCTGTTGTATAGTTAGTCACTGTGTTTAATAAAGCGAAGTGTTGTTGATTGAGCAAACATTTCTTTTATATACTACAATAAAGACAATAATAAGAATTCTGTAAAAAATCTGCAGAATTTGGCAAGCCATCCTACAAAATCGTTACATTATGAAATATTTTTCGACACGGTTTTACTTTCGTGAATATTCTTGTCGTTTAATATCGATAACGATATTTGACTAACACTTAATTTTACACACCTCCACTCAGCTGTTCACTTTTCTTATCAACAAATTTTGACATTTCTTCTTTATTGGAAACTTTATGCTTTGCAATGTTGTTAACACCCTCTCTACTGAAAAGGGATTTTCGGAATTCCCGCTGAGAAGACAAAGTAGGCAGGCACTGAGCTTTCATTCTAAATTTTGTAAAAGTAATCAAAATTTTTTAATTAGAATATAATTTCAAAAACTATAATCGACTACATATATATTTTTTTTTTTAATTTTCAATGCTTTTATTCGGCTATAACAAAATCTGTTTTCTTTCCTGATCTCCAAATTGCAAATGAAAGTGCAACACTGTATCGCGCTGTCATTTGTCGGTCAAAAAGCAAATGTAAATAAATCCAAATAAAAACGCAATTCAACAAATAGCAGCAAAAAGTCGGTAAAAACGAGAGTTTTGCTTGGAACATAAGAAGAGTGCTATAAAAACAAAGTAAACAAAAGCGTGAAAAAGTGTAAAAAATACCAGCGCACGCAGTGTGTCTGTTCAGGCTGCTGGAGACTGATACAAACAAACAAACGTTGTAACCGAAACCCCAACACCCCCTTGAATATATGGATGTATGTAAATACATATGTACCTGGAGATAGCTGTGGAGGCGAATTAGATAAGTAAGGAGTGATTGCAATGTGCGGTGGAAAAACAAGAAACTGATTGAGAGTCTTACTAAAGCTGGAGCGTATGCTCACATGCCATTCAGTGAAGAGCTTAACTGGCTGGAAGCACGAGAGGCACGAGAAGCAAGCAACAAAAACGTCTACGATTGATTTTGAAGTGTGGTCAACAACAAAGCAAAGGGAACAATAATTTTTCAGTTGATTTTTGTTGTTCCGCGAATGCTGTTGGTTCGATAATAAATTCGCGTGCGTATAACAAAAGCTAGCGCGTAGTGCAATATCAACTGAAAGAAAAAATAATAATACAAAGTAAAAAATATCAAACAAAATATACCGACTCTTGAAGAAGCTGTGGAAAAATATTGAAAATCTTTAAAAAAGTCTTCCACTGGCTTAGAAACAAATTGAAACTGAATTGCTATTTGGATCTACATAATTAAAGTAAATTGGTAAGTAGAATTACTGCATATGAAGACATTTGGTCTTTTGCACTTCTGCCCTTATAGCACGAAATCTATTGATTTACCTATGAGCTATATTAGGGCAAAAAAAACAGCTGCGCGTAGCAAACCAACAACGGTCATCACCTTGAACTCATGCCCAGATGGCGTGCCTACGGCTGAACAATGAATGCAGACGCTGGTGTGCCAGACATGGCACTACAAATGTAGACAGCGAAGCCTAGCTCTGATAAGTTTTCTTAAATTATTCACACAAATATATTTGAACTCATATAATATAAGTGAATTCAACAGATTTTTAGCCACTTAATACAAATATGAATATATGTAAATCATCTTCGAAGCGTCAGCTTATTAGCAAATCAATGTATAATTTTTGAAAGAAATAAATTTAATGTTAAAAAATTTAGCTTGCTCTGGCGTCAGCCGCATCCTCAACAGCTGTGGTCGCGCTCGTTTAATTGCATGCTAAACAGATAGAAATCTGTATATACATATGTATTTATCTACATGTGCGCACACATCTATTTGACTATTTACAAGAATGCTAGAATGTGGCTTCTCAAAAGTGTGTTATTTATAGCGCATTTTTTCCATCTTCGGTCACTGGCAATGCGGAAGTTTTCAACCACACACACACACACACACATGCAAGGTATACAAATTGGTGTTCAATATAAAAAACATTTTTCAAAATTTTATATGTATATAAATTTTTTCACCTTAGGCAAATAAAATGCATAATATATTAGTGTCTATTAAGTGGCACTTTTGTGATTTTGTGTGGATTTATTTAAATTAATTTCAACAGTGTGCATACTCCAATTGACCAATAACCTGTGCAGTGATTGCGGTGTGAAGGAGAAAGTTGTCAACAGCTTGGTGTTTTTTTTTTTTATTTTTTTTTGATTTATTTCAAGTAGATATGTTTTTGTAGGCATGGACAATATGCATTTCTTACTTATCTGTGAAGGCCTATAAACACTGTAGGAAAAAAGTGAGGTAGACTCACAAAGCCGTTTTGATTTCAAAAAATATATGAGAGAAATGAAAAAAAAAACACCAAAAACTTGTTGCATTTAAAGTATTAATATAGTTCCCGGAAATTCTGCAATCTCTATAATAGGCAGGGAATTAGCATGATAAATTGACTTGGAAATAATTTTGAATTTGAACTCAAAGCAATTAGAAAATGTGAATGGAAATAATTAAAACTATTATTTTAGAATCTCTGCTTTGGAAAAAATATTTATGTATATGTATGTAATATAATTTGAGCTTTGTAACCTCTAAAGTAATAATCCGCTGAACTCCTCCTCCAATTTGTGGTTTTAGCGTCTTGATGTTTTTTTATTTTTTTTTTTTAACAAAACGAAGAGACCCATAGTTTATTTTATGGATTTTTATGAGGTGTTTTTAATTTTCATGACAGAAATACGCTCGTAAAGCTAGACATTCCCCCTCAAGAGGCGATCACAATTAGAAAAAATAATTTAAACTTTTTACAAAAATTATTTTTCTATATTTTTGGATGTTGGTCGGAATAGGGTTTGAACTCTAAAAATTATACGAGTATTTTTCCTCTGCGGTATTGTATGAATTCACGTTTCTACATACATATTTTTATACGCGGCACATGTTAATGTTCATATGTATGGTATAAACAAATATTTGTTTTCTTTATTATATCATTATTGCTTTTCTGAAAAAAAACCAGCTACATATTTACATGCATGCATGTATTGAATTGAAAGTGAAATTATCAAATTAGTAGCTATTTAACATTTTAATATTTAAACTTAAATTGCATGTCATTGAGGCACTAGACTCTTATCAATATCGAATAAACATGATTTTATTGTTTTTTGTTTTTGTTGTAGTGGTAAAAATGTGTGTATGCACGCTTCAAACTAATTTTTTTTTTTTTTTTTTTTTTTTTTTTTTTTTTTTTTTTTTTTTTTTGAAGAACAAACATATTTGATGAAACTGAACTCTAAAATAATAAAAAAAAAATACCGAATTCGTTATAATATACAACAAATAGTATGAATAAGTTGTTCGAATCACAAATAATTATCCCAAAAATTGAAATTATGTTCATAAATACATATATAGTAAATGACAAAAACACAATAACAGTTATGTGGCTAATATGTATGTATAAAGACATTGACTTTTATGGAACCAATTGAAATTCAATTGAATGCGTGGCTTGAAATTTTATGTAAATCATAAATAATTTTTATGCTTTTCGTGTACATTATGAGAGTACCAGAAGTATAAGAGATCGATACAATAAAATTTATATAATGAACCAACTATATCGAACCATTAAACCATATAAATGACCGATATTTCAAATGTAAGGTTTTGGAAATTTTGTATTCAGCACAAATGATCGAAATCTGACGACTATCTCATGTAGCCCCCATAATTCAAAAAAGCATCTAAAGGCGCGATATTTGGTGTTCTACGCACATTTATACTAGTTACCATTGACACCTAGAATCATCGAAATCGGATGACTATATTTTATGGCTCCCATACACCCGTTTTTTTTTAGATTTGAGGCTGTGGGTCAAAAATCCTTCAAAAAAGCTTCTAAAGGCGCGATATTGGGTATTTTACCCAAATTTATACTAGTTACCATTGACACCTAAAATCATCGAAATCGGATGTCTATAACATATAGCTCCCTTACAACCGTTTTGTTCAGATCTGAGGCTTTGGGTCAAAAATCCGTCAAAAAAAAAAAACATTTAAGAGCACGAAAATTTGTTTTCTACACACGAGACTACAAATAAATATTGACATCGAAGTCGGAAGACTTCATCAGATAGCACTCTCCATACAATTTTTCAGATATGAGACTTAATTTATAATCTTGAAATGAAATACCGCAAATTTGATGTCGTCATGAAAGGTATAAAGAAGACAGCTCTTCTTTCTTATTCTTGTTTTTTGTTACTTTTGCTTGACTGCCTGAATGAATGTTATGTCTGCAATATACCATATATACGTGTATGTGTATATATATATATATATATATATATATGTACAACCATATATAATTTAGTTATAATCAAAGCCCTTAATGCACGTACAATACGCATAAATAATTACATTAAACAGTGGATTTTACACTGCGACGCACCTTAATGGGGAACACTCGTACATACTAATGTACATATCTATGTATGCACATATGTTTATTTGTAAGTATGCAAATTCGATTGAAATGTTTACTATACATTATTTGTGATCGAATTGTTTAAAGATATTTTAAATAATATTTTCTGATATATTTATTTATATAAATATATATGTATGTGCACATATTTTTCCTTATAATTAAAAAAAAAACATACTTCTGTTTAATTTAAATATCTTTTAATAGCCTTGAATAGTAAAAAAAAATATATATATATAAAAATACCAGAAGTGATCTAGGTCACTGTGGAACTATTACCACGGTGGCTGGTAAATTGAGTTAGACGCCTACGTATATACATATTAATATATAAAACTTACATATGGACAAACATGTGTATAAACTCTGCTATATTAGGTTATATGGTCCTAATCATTTTTACTGCAATGCTTATGTAAGTATGTATGCATGTATATATATTGGTGTGTACCAAAGTGTGAATGAAAAGATAAATAAATGCAAAGATATCAGTAACATTTTGAAATGACCTATTTTATCGAACAAAACGACATACAAATACATGTTCATATGTATTTATATTTGTACGTTGGTTTGTATGGGTCGGTAAAGATCGGTAAAGAGTTTTGTAAATTCTATATTTCAAGAAATAAAATGGAGCAATTTTGTTGATTTCAATTCAAAATAGACAAAATCACATGCTTACATACAGTGGCCAAAAGTATTAGACACTCCACTAATTACTAAATTTTTTTGTTTTAACAAGTGAAATAATGAAAGGAGACGATACAAGACGAGACGAGACGAGACGAGACAAGACGAGACAAGACGAGACGAGGCAAGACGAGACGAGGCAAGACGAGACGAGATGAGACAAGACAAGACGAGACGGGACGTGACGAGACAAGACGACACGAGACGAGACAAGACGAGACAAGACGAGACGAGGCAAGACGAGGCAAGACGAGACGAAATGAGACAAGACAAGACGAGACGGGACGTGACGAGACAAGACGACACGAGACAAGATAAGACGAGACGAGACGGGACGAGACGAGACGAGACGAGACAAGACGATACGAGACGATACGAGACGATACGAGACGAGACGAGACAAGACGAGACGAGACAAGACGAGACGAGACAAGACAAGACGTGACGATACGAGACGAGACGAGACAGTGTGAACAGAGTATAATGATACTTATACCGCCGGATAGGTAGAAAGTCAAGGTACACTGTTCAAATTGCACCCGCGAACGGAACTATAGGCGAAAAACCGATTGTGTACTTTTTAAAATTATTTCAAAGATAAAAAAAACGTATAAAGTATGAGTGTAAGTAGTAACAATAAATATATTGTCGGATAGGTAGGGAAATCCAGCTACACTGTGCAACAAACCCAGCTTCTCTATCAAGCCCGGGAGCGCAGCAGTATGACAAAAACTGAAAAAATTCGATTTACCACTTTTTTACGTTTGTCGAAATATTTTTACTATATATCAAACAGACCAGACCAAGCAATATTTCAATTGGACTTGGACCAGTGGCAAAGTGGTGTTAGTTGAGTTAGTTTTAGGGGATATGCTAAGAGGTGGTTAGTGTCGTATGGGCATACCGCTTTCAAGTAGGATAAGTCGGAATTAGTCGACTATAATATCCAGATCTTACTTATGCCAGTAGACTGTCTCGACAGCCTTTTCTATGCAACGGAGGTAATCCGAACCTAGCTTATATTTACAAACCAAAAATGGAGAAAACCCAAGAATAATAGGAATTCAATTTACAAAAAAAAAATCTTTACATGCCGAAATCTACA